CCCAGTTTGTTTTTGTTGCTATTTTTTTTAAGTTTTGCTGGATATAGAATTCTTGGTTGACCATATTTTTCTTTAAGCATTTTGAATATGTCATCCTATTGCCCTTTGGCCTCCATGATTTCTGATGCGAAGTCAGCTGTTAATCTTATTGAGGCGACCTTATGACCCCATTTAACCTTAGTTGCCTCCTAAAAGCCTTATCTCCAGATGCAGTCACATTGGGAGTTAGGGCTTCAATATATGAATTTTACAGAGGAAAATCAGTCCATAATAAGCACCAACAGTGAAATTTTCATGTCAGTTATTGTACTTTTCAATGCTGGAATTTCTACTTTGTTCTTTTTAAAACATAATTTCTATCTCTTTATTGATGTTCTCTATTTGGTGAGACACTTCCCTCATACTTTCTTTTAATTCTTTGGACATAGTTTCCTTTAATTCTTTGAACATATTATAATAGATGATTTAAAGTCATTGTCTACTAGGTTCAACTTTTGGGCATTCACTGGTAGAGTTTCTACTAGCTGCTTCTTCCTCCCCTGCCTTGAATGAGTCATACTTTATCATTTCTTTGTGTGTTGAAAACTGAATGTTTAAAATAATGTGACACCCGCCCCCCACTAGTTTGGTTTTGTTGCTATTTTTTAGTGATTTTCCTGAATTAATTCTGTAAAGTTTGCATTCGTTGTCATGGATGGCCACGGAAGTCTCTGCCTGGTTAGTTTAATGATCAGCTAATGACCGGACAGATTTCCTTAAATGCCTAGAACCAATAAATCTCCTAGCCTTTGTCAAGGTCGGTGTGTGCATGTTGGGGTATGGCTTCAGTGCTCTGACAGGCAGTTTACAACTAACTCTGCCTTTATCTTCACTCCCTGCTTGTGCAGAACGTCACAGTAGGTCAGAGGTGAGAGATTAGGGCCTTCTCAGGTCTTTCCTAGGCACATGAACAGCCCTGAATATTCCTGTAGCCTTCTAGATACATAGGAATATTCTAGGGCTTTTTAGAGACCCCTTTGGGCAACTCATTCTCACATATTTTATTTTCAGTTTTTGTTAGCTCCAACTGGTAATGCTGCCTCAGGTAATGCTTGTCACTGATTATTTTTGATAGTGCTTTGCAAATAGAACTGTTTGCACAGAGTAACCTCTGAGTCAGATAAAATAAAGACATGCTCTGAGAATGGAATTTTTCAGCAAGCCACCAGATAGTTAAAATAGAGATAATTCACTAGGAGGTGGGGCTTTGGAGGAGCTCCAAACCCATTTGGTCCTGTCAATTGTTGCTAGATTGCTGGTTTTCATAGCTACCATAGTTGCGATGTGGTTGGTTTTCAAGTCTACCACTTGATAGTCGTAGATGAGCCGGTGATAAGGGGATAGGATTGGGGCAAGTTAAAATGCCACAAAATTCATTGTTCTTACTGAAATCATTTTTCCTGAGGAAACCCTCCTTCCACTGTTGCAAGTCTTTGGTTAATTTCCAAAGTTCTAAAAAAAATTGATTTTGACAAATTTGCCTGTGTTTTCTTTGCTTTTAGGAGGACTATTTTTAGAGGTCCTTATGACGCCATTCCAGAAGTTGGAATTCCTAAATCTTTTTTAAGGGGTTGCTCTAGGGATTACAATATGTGTACTTAACTTTTCACAGTCTATTCAGAATTAATATATTACAACCTTTGGTGGAATATAGAAACCTTGCCACCTTATAGGTTATTTTGCCCTCCCCCATTTATGTTATAATTGCCATACATAGAATACATCTACATCCATTGGAAACTCCATCAGACAATGTCATATTTTTTGCTTTCAACTCTCATGTGAATTTTAAAGAACTTAAAAGAGAAAAAGAGCTTATGGTATTTACCTAAATATTTGCCATTTTATCATTCTTACTCCATTCCTGACATTTCTTTTTTTTTTTTAAAGATTTTATTCATTTATTCATGAGAGACAGAGACAGAGAGAGAGAGAAGCAGGCTCCCAAGGAGCAGGGAGCCCAATGTGGGACTCGATCCCAGGACCCTGGGATCATGACCTGAGCCGAAGGCAGACACTTAACCATCTGAGCCACCCAGGCACCCTATTCCTGACATTTCTGATGTGAAATTCACAGTTGCTCTAATTATTGTTTTTCTATATGTGAGACTGTTTTTCTCTGTTTTCAAGATATTTTCTTAGCCTTTAGTTTTCAGCAGTTTGATTATGATGCATTTGGGAATAGCTTTCTTTGAGTTTTTCTTGTTTGGAGAGTGAGCTTCTGGACTCTATAAATTTATGGTTTTTTCCCCAATCATTTGGAAGTTTTCAGCCATTATTTCTTCAAATATTTTTTCTGCACCAAATATATTTTTTAAAGATTTTATTCAATTATTTGAGAGAGAGAGAGAGAGTGCGCACTCACCCTCGCGTGCACAAGTGGAGGGGAGGGGCAGAGGGAGAGGGAGAAGTAGGCTCCCCACTGAGTAAGGAGCCTGTAGTGGGGTTTGGTCACAGGACCCCAGGATCATGACCTGAGCCGAAGGTAGATGCTTAACTGACTGAGCCACCCAGGTGCCCCTGTTTTTCTTTTTATTATTGAGTGTTATATATTTTTTGGGTATAAGTCATTTGTCAGATATACGTATTGTGAATGTTTTTCTCTCAGTCTGTGGTTTGCCTATTCAATTTCGTAATGGTGTCTTCTGATGATGAGTGAAGCCTTTTATTTTGATGAAGTCTATTTTAACAATTTTTTCTTCTGATTAATGCTCTTTGGGTCTTTTGTGAAAAACTTTGTCTACTCCAAGTCTGCAAGGATATTCTCCTATGTTTTCTTTTTTTTAACTTCCTTTTTCCCCTATTGGTAGAGATATAATTGACATACAGTATCAGTTTAAGGTGTATAACATAATGACTTGATATATGTATATATTGTGAAATGATTACCACAAATACATTAATATCATCACCTCACACAGTTATAATTTTTTTTTGTGATGAGAACTTTTAAGATTTACTCTGTTAGTGACTTTCAAATATACAATACGTTATTGTTCACTGTAGTTGCCTAATGTTTTCTATTACAAACTTTATCATTTTTGCTCTTATATTTAGGTCTGATCCCATTTGATTTAATTTTGCATATGGTATAAGGTAGAAATCAACATTCATCTTTTCTCTATATATTTATCTAAGTGTTCCAGCACTATTCATTGATTTTACTCATATATATTAAAAACTAATTTTATCTTTAATTTTCCTATTTTTAAAGGCATTGTTTAATGCTTTACACTAAAATTACAAAAAAACCCCACAAAATCTGTTAAATAATTATATTTCAATATAATTGATTTCCTTAGCAATTCTATATATTGTATTTTATGCCCTTCAAATTATTATTTTGAGAATGGGTCCATAAGCTTTAAGATTACCAAAGGTGTCCAAAACACACATATGTTAAGAACCCCTGGTGAGGTAGAAAAACACTTAGCTTTAGAATCAAAGAGACCTAGGTTTAAATGCTCATTTGCTGCTTCCTAGCTCTGTGACCTTGGGCACATCACTTAACCTTAATTAATCTTCCATACTTCCACAGATTCAGTAAATATCTACTGAGCACCTACTATCAGCCACTGTATTAAATCTTGTGGATCTTACGGATTTAATACAGACAGACGGAGATAACCTTTCCCGTACAAAGTTTACAACTGAGTGGGGGAGGCAAGTGAGTTAAGGGGTCATTACACAGCACACTGAGATAAGTGCTTTGATATCAGAAGGACAAAGCTATGGGAACTCGGGGGTGGGATTCCCAACCCAGACTTGCAGAGTCAGGAAAGATTTCCAGATAAGGATGCTAAACACATCTCAGGGATAAGTGGACATTAGCCAAGCAAAGAGGGAGAAGAGCTATCCAGGTAGGGGGGTGAACCCTTAAGAGACATGGGGATGGGGAGAAAGGACCAGTAACATAAGGCAGGACTGCAGACTGGGTCAGACTGAAGTTTTGTAGCCATCTAAACATATTAACTTCACCCTAAGAGAAATGGGAAGTCATTGAAGAGTTTTAGTCATTGATAGGTTGTGACAGAATCAGAATAAATTTTTTGAAATTCTGCACTACAGGCATCACCACTGGAAACAGGAACAATGATTTGGAGATTATTGGAGAAATCCTGTGGAGAGAAGGTGAGTGCATGGGTTGTGGCAATGGGGTGGAGAAGATGTATGGATTTGAGATTTGAGAAACATTTAGGTGGTAAATTCAGTGAAGCCTCATATTGGAGGCTTTGGGAAATGAGGGAGATGGGGCCATCTCAGATTTCCAGTTGGACCAACAGGATGAATGGTGGTGCCATTCACTGGAAAAAGAGCAGGCTTACAGGAAAACATAAAGTCAGATTTGAATTTATGGGTGTGAAGTGACTGAATGAGGATGTTCAGCAGACTTTTGGCCATATTGGCCAGAAAATTGAAAGAGGGGTTTGGGATGGGAAACCATCTGTTTCCATATGGTAAGATGCCATAGGCAGCATTCCTTCTTTCCTCCCGACCTTCGTTCAACATCTGTTGAAGATGTGTTATACGCAGGAGGTTGGGGATACAGCGGTGACCACCACCACTAGGTTTCTGCGCTTAACCAGTTCACCGTTTACCTCTCTCAACTTGCTCTTAATCTTTAAAAATGAAAATAATAATGAGATCAAGTGAAATGAGGTGATGTGACGACACCTGCTCTTTTAATTTTTATATTTGTTTCTCGTCCCTAGAGCGAGAAGAGAAGGTAACTCGGTTACTTTTGCTTTGTATCCTTCCCCCTAGGCTCTTCCGCGCAGGCGCCCTGGACGGCCCTGGGTGGGGGTGGGGCGGGCCCGAACCTGTGTCTTCTTCCCCGGGGCCAGGACCCGGCCGCGCGGAGGGTGCGGGCTGCCCGTGACGTCATCAAGTTGCGCAGCCCGCAGGGCGGGACCCGAGCGCGACAGCGCGGCCGGCGGACCAGGCTGGCTGGTGGGGAAACGAAACTGAGGGAGGAGGCGGCGGCTCTGGCAGAGGCAGGGCCAGGCCTGGTGGCGGCGGCGGCGGCGGCAACGGCGGCCTGAGCCCCCCCTCTCCGCTCCCAGGCAGCTCACCCTCTCCCCTCAGCGTGAGTGCCGACGCGCGGCCTGGGGGGAGCGAGCGGGCGGGCGGGCGCGCGGGCTCAGCATCCCTCTCCCCTCCATCGCCGCCTCGGCCGCGCACCGGCGGTGGTGACCCTCGCCGCCCCTTCTCTCTCCCCCACTTCCTTCAATCCTCCCCCGCCCCCCACCTGCCCCTCCAGCTCCCGGCAGCCCGAGTTGCCGCCGACAAACGTCTCTGCGCACACATTCACACACTCACGTTGTTTTCAAATGAAAAGACTGGCCGGGAGAGATAGGAGCTCATCTCCTCCCTCAGTGAATAAGGGTGGCAGTGCGAAACCGACACCCTGGGAGAGAAGGCTGGAGAGGGGATTTGAACCCCTTTCTTGGGAGAGCAGCAGGTAGAACCAGGCCTTTTGCCTTCCACGTAGAAGTTCCCTGCCTGGGCACATTCTCCTGGCCTGTGTCGGCCACTTGAGCGGGGCGCTGGTTAAAGTGTGCGGCCTTCCCTCTCGGGCCTCAGTTCTTTCCAATGGAAAACGAGAGGGTTGGAGTAGATGATTTGCAAGGCCCGCATCTAAGGTGGTTTGGGGAGGAGCATCAGTATCTCCTGCCTTTCACACAATTTACTCTCCTTTTTTTGCACCCACCCCAGCGGAGTCCACATTGAGTTTCCCGTGCTTGCAGTTTCCCAGAGTCGCTAAGAATCAGATGGCCCTTGCTTTTGTTATGGGCCTTTTGGGGGGCATTTAAAACGGTGGTTTAAAGTGGAACGTCGTTTTGCTTTCTCTTTGTTCAAGGTCCCCCGTTCTTCCCCAAGGTAAATAACCCCTGCCTGTGGCTAGTAAGAGGCTGCCTCCTTAGGATATGGTTATGCATTGGGTTGACTGCTCATCCTTGAGCTGTAGAGAAGTGAAACATGGGATTCAGGGTTTTGTGAGGTTGAGGGGATCAGTGGTATCTTTGCATTTCATTGCTCTCTTGCTGCTGTGATCCATGTTAAAAGTCTGTTTTCTGCCTCTGCACCTCCCCTTCCTCAAGGAATTGCAGCCCAGCTGGTCACCCACCTGTTTGCTCCTATGTTTTGAGTTCTTTCTTTTTTCTGAGTCTCCTTATAGCCCATCAGTTGTGTGTAAACCACACTGTATTCACTACCACTCTTTAACTTGATCATTCCTTAAGGTTTCAGGATGTCATAATCACTTAATTCCATCTCATTCCGCCCCCCCCCCATGCTTACCTCTCATGTACCTACCGATGGGCGTGGATGATGGTGACATGGTGCCTGATCGACTCCATTCTTTTTTCGTGGAGGTGTGTTCGTGTTGTTAAAATTATTTTTACACCAGAGTCCTATGATGTGGCTACCTCCAGTTTGAATAATTTTCCCACCCTTCTATATTCTCAGTCCTGAGTGAACCACTTCCATTCCCTACTCTCATCAAAAACTTTCCCAATTCTTTAATGTTTTCAAACATCCTGAAATAAACCAAAACCAGTATTGTATCATATTATGTAATCTCTTAATTGGCAAAATAATAATGGTGATGGAGCTATCATTCTGGGATTGTCCCTTCACCTTGGATATATTGGTTGATACTCATTAGGTTTCATAATTAATGTCCAGTGTACGTTGTTGTCACACATGGCCAGTGTTGCATGATAAGTATAGAATAATAAGTACCCAAGGCTTTTTCCCCCACTGTGGCTTGTAAAGTTGATCCATGACTTTTGGTATCTGACATCAAGGCTCTTAGGCCTCTGGGTCTGTGAGCACCACACATTTTCCAGTAAAACTAACAGCTATTATTGAAGACTAGAGCTTGGCTAGCATCCTTCCTGGACCTCAATTTGAGGAAGAGGCTGTTCAAGTGCCGGCACTGGAAGCTGTTTGGAATTGCCAAATCCCATCCCACTGATGATTTATATTTTGGAATCCCTGCTCTGGCAAGGGCAGCTGACTATCTGGATTTATGGTTGCAGTAACAATGAGGAGGAGAAATGATCCAGAATGCACTGCCCCTATCAAGAAACAGAAGAAAAGAGTTGCAGAGCTTGCCCTGAACCTCAGTTCTACGTCTGATGACGAACCTCCCTCTTCCGTCAATCATGCAGCAAAAGGTATGCTTGCCCATGTGTTGTGAGGCCGTTGGCCGTCTGGTTATTTGAATCCCTGGTGCCTGAATTGGGCAGAACACAGTCCGCTGCCCCTTCAGGGAAATTAGGCAACTTCTACAGAGAGATGTTCACTATAGGCTCTCTTCCTTTCTGCCCATTCTACTAGGAATGGACAACTTGTTTTAAATAAAGAATTGGAATTTTTACAGTAGTGTCTTAGTTCTGTGGCTGGTCTTTCAGTAGGTGGCACTCTTTTGCTGCCTTAAACCAGTTGGAAGTGGTGAACCCTGAGTGTCCTGTGCTCTTAATTGCTGTTAATGATCCTGGGGCTCTTTCACAGGGGATGGGCTCTTTGCTGCAGTGTTCTGGCCTAATTCCCCTCAGGTTTTTGCATTCTGTTTTCTCAATTCCCTCAACTGTTGTGATCAGGAACACCGAAATGAATTGGAGCATCCCTGTGTTCACTGTTGACATTAAGCTCAAAAGATTTCACTGATCTAGTTGAAACTAACATTTTGCTTTGCCTGTTTTTTAGGGTTATGGATGTACACAGTGTCCATAGGTGCCTTTCCGTGAAAGAAATTGTAGAATGCCTAGGAGCTTGCTTCAAATACCAAGCAATTAGAAGCAGCTTCATTTGCATTTACCTTGACTTGCCAGCTGTATTTATTTCCTAGGGCTGCTGGAGCAAAGTACCACAAACTGGGTGGCTTAAAACAACAGAAATTTATTCTCCATAGCTCTGGAGGCTACATGTCTGAAGTCCAGGTGTCAGCAGAGCCATGCTCCCTCTGAAGGCTCTTGTGAAGAATCCTTCCTTGCCTCTTCTAGCTTCTGGTGGTTGCTGGCAATCCTTGGTGTTCTTGGTTTATAACAGCATAACTCCAGTCTTTGCCGCTGTCTTTCCTCTGTGTGTCGTCTGTTGCAAATTTTCCTTTTCTTAAAAGGGCAATCAGTCATTGAATCAGGGCCCACCCTAATCTAGTATTACATGATTTTAATTTGATTACATCTGCAAAAAGACCATATTTCCAAACATCATGTTCCCTGGTGCTGAGTGGACATAGCTTTTTGGAGGGACACTATTCAACCCGGTACACCAGCATGCATTTTGGAGCCTTTGCTGGATCACTGGTCAATTAGAATGAAATTTGGCAACAGATGGGTGACTGAAAGGGTGTGAAGCATCCTTTGAGAGTGGTAGGAAATACGGTTTACAAGTGGTAGGCTAATTGAAGGGCAGGTACTCATCAGTTGTACTGAGAAGCTCGTTCAGAAAGGAGAAGCTTGACAGGCAGTACAGCTGAAGCATTTGGTGCAGCTGTGGTCCCGGTTGAATAAGAGACTCTCATAACCTTGTGTGTGGAGATATGAGTGCCTTTAAAGTTGTCACAGTGGATTCCAGGATAGCTGAGAAAGGCTGTATGTAATTGAGTTTCCTAAGTGGGAAGGCAAAAACATAGTGGCTGGTTCTAGAGACTGTTAAAGAAAGGGAGTTTTGCTTTTCACCTGGGATTTGAGCAGCTTGGGGAAGGTAGAGTCTCCTTAGGTAGAGCTCTGGTTTATTGGGAGAGATGGCCTATAAGGGAAAAAGGGAGAGCATGTCTGGGAGAATAAATGTACTCAGGTGCTGGAGGTATCTAGTTCTAAGTGGATCTCAGGGGGCATCTTCTTGGGGTAAAGAGAGGGTAACTCACAGGTAGAGGGAGACATATGGTTAAGGATCTTTTTAAGGGAACCAGTCTGATTTAAATTTCAAGTTTTTAAAATTGACTGAATTGAGATTGTCCACCACCCCGCCCCCCGCCCCGCCCCGCCACATTTCCCTTAATTGTACCAAATAGCTTTAACCTTTTCTGGAAGTAGCACCATGTGATTCAGTTAGGATTGACTATGCTGTTGTGTGTACAGAATGGAAATCTAAATGGCCAGTACCTTGCATGCATTTGGCAATATGCCACTTGGTACTTTTCTTTTTTTAGAGGGAATGAAAGAAAGAGAGGGAGGGAGGGGCAGAGGGAGAGAGAGACTCTTAAGCCGGCTCCACGCAGAGCCCAGCATGGGGCTTGATCTCATGACCCTGAGATCATGACCTAAGCTGAAATCAAGAGTTGGACACTAAACCCACTGAGCCACCCAGGCGCCCCTGGTCCTTTTTCTTTTTCTGAAAATGAGGCAGGAGGCAGTGGCAAATAAACATTGCTAGATTTCCCTGTTTTAGCTTATTTTAGCTTTTTTGTTGTCATAAAAACTGAGGGCTGGAGTCTGGTGTCTTCATCAGCAAGATTGCTCTCTCTGCCACTCCCCCTCATCCCATACCTGGCATGGAATAAATGCTCAATAAATATTTACTGAATAGAATTGATAGAAGGCAATAGTAGGGGGTGCCTGGGTGGCTCAGTCGTTGAGCTTCTGCCTTCAGCTCAGGTCATGATCCCAGGGTCCTGGGATTGAGCCCCGCATCGGGCTCCCTGCTCAGCAGGAAGCTTGTCTCTCCCTCTCCCACTCCCCCGCTTGTATTCCCTCTCTCGTCTCTCTCTCTCTCTTTGTCAAATAAATAAAAAATCTTAAAAAAAAAAAAAAAGGCAATAGTAGTATCTTTTCCAAGAAGCTTAAAATTCTCCACCTCTTTCATTTTGCCTATCCCTCCTCTATTCTACAGAAGATCATTTCATTAAGTACTTACTTAGCATTTATATCATCTCTGTTCTGAATTAGCTTTTCTTTCTTTTTTTTAAAGATTTTATTTATTAGAGGAGCACATGAGCTGGCGGGGAGGGGTAGAGGGGCGGAGGGAGAGAGAGAAGCAGACACCCCGCTGAGCAGGGAGCCCGATGGCTGGGCTTGATCCCAGGACCCTGGGATCCTGACCTGAGCTGAAGGCAGACGCTTAACCAACTGAGCCACCCAGGTGCCCCCTGAATTGGCTTTTCTTAGGCGTCCCCTGGACAGTGTGCCCTGGTAATTTACTGTCTCACCAGAAGCTGTGTATCTGCTGAGATTTATATGCAGCTTTCCTAGTCCAGTCATTGCATTAAAGCAAATGTGTTTCCTTTTGTTTCAACCACTTCTACCTGGACGTACTGTTGAACAGATGATTGAAAAATGCTCTTTAGGGTACAAATAGAAAAACAAAAAAATAGTAGTTACTGTTTCTGTCTTTCTGGGCCTTATTTGTGCTTTCTCTACTAGATCAGTGTGATGACTCATTAATAGATCTGTTTAGTTTAATCAGTTTGTTTATTTTACTTTATTGACAAGGTAAGTGCATTGCCAGGTCAGAGATTGACATGTGACCAGAGTAAAGAAAAAAAGGAATGTTGTTGTAATGGCCGCTGTGGCATCATGTGTTCTTTTGAGTATTTTAAGAATATTTTGAAGGCATTTTTAAGCCTAAATCAACTCTCGGAAAGTTGCTATTAAATAACAACCTTTTGAAGTAAAAAGGGGCAGATAGAGGTCATTTTGTTCTTTCTGGTTGTTTCTTTCAGGGAAACTGTGGTCTAGACTCCAAGACCATTTCCTTTTCTCCTTAGCTGTGTATCCAGCGTGGGCTCCTGGCCCTCCCACAGCATGTTGCTTTGGAAGTTGCCAGGCCCTTTTGCAGGCACCACACTAGTAGCGCCTTCCCCTCCACCAGGTTTAATTCTTCCCTAAATAGGCTATTCTCCCTGAAACACCATTGCTTTCCTGTCAGCCCAGATTCATGACCTTAATCAAAAACTTCCTTTATCGGTATCTGTTTAAATTGCTCTAACGAGTTACCATTTGTCTGGCATGAAGGAGATATCGAGTCTTTAAACAGGAATGAGTATATTCCACAGCAGTTGTTAAGCAGGATGTGTGGTATTTATTAAAATCCATAATTTATTCCTCTCTACCTGTGTGCTGCTCACCTTGGCCATTAGTGGTTGGAGCTGCCTCTCTGTATGTGCTGTCACTGTCATTTTTAATCTTGGCGTGTTTGCCCTACTGTTCTGTTGCCATGTAAAAAATTTTGCCCTGCTGTTCTGTTGCTATGTGAAAAATTTTGAACTTTTCATCTTTAAAAATGACTTAAGAGTAATGATTTCTATCAGGTGGAAAGGAAATCTTAAATGAAAACTCTAAATAATGTTTTGGGCTCTCTGTTAGGTTTTAGAAGGGGAGCTCCTGGGGAGGTAAATGGGAATGCCACCCAGCTTTGGCAAGTTCTTAATGAAATGAATCATTTTAATAGACTGACCTATTACTCCTGTTAATTTATATCTTCATTACAAAATTGTCTGCTCAGTGTTTGCTGAATTCTTATCAGTCTTGGGAGACAAAATGTCCCCTTTAGTTACTGCTGCAGCCATGACAGTTGTGTCCTTTCCATCTGAAAAGTGTGGCCCCAAAGGCCCGGGCGTGAAAATGGGCAGTGGCTGTGGCTGGCTGTGGGCATCAGGACTAGTCTAGGCAACTTTGTTTTAAATCATGTCAGGCTAAGAATTGGCCTCAAATACCACATGAAATAAAGGGGAAATAAGGCTTATCCAGCACACTTCTTGATCTCACAAAGAAATGCTTAGTAGGATGGTATTTTAGCTTCCATTGACCTCACTCTCAGAACCTGTACACACATGTACACTGGGCAGCACCTAGGGAAGGGGAATGGAGTGGAACAATCTCTGTCCCAGAGTCTGGTGCTGGTATTTTGCACCAGAGTCACCACTGATTTGCCTAATGAGCCCTCCACCCACATTTGGTTCCCCCTATCATTTTGGTCCAAGAATGGTATGAAGACAAAGAAAACAAAAGATTTCTCTTTGAGATCTGAAGGTGGTTTGTACCGCGCATGCCGAGGAATGATGCTCATACCATTGATGACTGCCCACGGCTGGGTCCTCAAGCAAACCTGACAGCCTGGCAACTCCACCTAGAGCTGGACCAAGGGCACACTCTCCTTTAATAAGGATACCCGGTTTTCCTAACCTTTTCGTAGGTTGACCTATGAATCCCCAGAAAGCTGGTGAAAGGAATAATAACTGATCTAACGTTGTAGCTTCTGGTTAGTCTGGACCCCAGATCCCTGGGTTACACAAAAAGAAACTTTAGGGCTGTGCCCAGGGAGCCACCCACATTCCTGGTACCCCCTCTTTCTGTACCAGTCAGTACAGATTGAAGGTATGGAAGTGCCTGAGTGAAGAGAAGCTGCACCTTTGGAAGCACGGTTCTTTAGCATGTGAGCCCTCTTTTGTAGAGTGTGTCTCTTTCCCCTGCATGTGAGATAATAGATGAGAGACCCAGGGTTAGACTTGAGCCACTTGAGAAGTCTTTCCACTTAGATCTGCTGTCCTCTCAAGCTTGGTCTGGAAAGGAACCAAATTCTCAAGGAAGGGTACTTCATTTCTTTATAGCTTTATTTTTTTACTCTAATTTTCAAATGAATTTTATTTCAAATGAATCTTACTTCTCACACAGAAAATGCAGAAAAGTGCAAAACAAAATAAATATAACCTCACCTCACAGTTTCCATGGTTACTCTTATGTTAATGTTCTGGGTCTTTCCTTCTGAGTGGCACTCTCTGGCACTCTGTGACGTGTGCTGCGTTGGTCTATGTAAGCAAGTCAGGTCCTTATTGAGGGAATTGGATAGCTTCCTAAGAGGAAGGGGTACAGTTGCCTGGGTGGCTCAGTCAGTTAAGCATCTGTCTTCTGCTCAGGTCATGATCCCAGGGTCCTGGGATCGAGCCCCACATCGGGGGGGGGGAGGGTCCTTGCTCAGCGAGGAGTCTGCTTGTGTGCACCCCCCCCCACGCTGCTCGTGCTCTCTCTTTCTCTCAAATAAATAAAGTATATAAAAAAAAAAAGAGGTAGGGGTAGATTTGGTGTCTCTCATATAGGGATATTCTCAACCAACATTTCTCCTTGCTAACTGCTTAGGAGCCAGAATGTTGGTTTTAAGTTTATTCTAATTTTTTCAAACATGTCATAGGCCTTTTCTTCTGCAAAATGTTATATCCCTAAAAGAAAAAAATGCATATTTATTTTAGCTGTCTGATTTTTGTTTTTTAAAATTTTGATTATTTTAATTTTTTTTTTTCATGGACCAATCTAAGTTATTTATTTAAGCCATCTCCTGCCATAAACAAAAGGATGGGGAAGATCAGTATACTGGTCATCATTTGACACAAGTAAAGAAGGTGAGCTTGAGGTCCCATATACTTTTCTGGTCCTCGTGCAGAGTCGTGATCCAAACCAGTGTTGTGGTCCCCACTGGGTAGTGCTCTAGGTTCTCTTTATTCATTTTCATAGGTGGTTGGAAGTGGATTCATGTGAGTTATGGAATACAGTGTGACTACCATCTCCCCAGGGAAAGGGCTTGGACCTGTTGCAGAGATGGGGGTAGGCGACGAACTCGGGGTTCTCCGTGCTCTCTGTGATGTGACTTCAGGATGACATTCATCATACTCACTCCCACACCAGGATGCGCTGTGAAGTAGGAGAGGGCCTTCCACATCTGAGCTGAGCCCTCCTCATTGCCGTGGGTGTCACTCAACGTGGACTGCCCCAGCTGTGCCCCAGACCGACCTAGCAGTCCAGAAACCCAGGACCCAGCTGCCACCACCATTTTCAACCTGGACCTTAGATATCTGATTTTTAAACTCTCTGAGGGTAGGATTATTTCTTTAGGAGAGTGCCCCATTGTATATAGCATGGACCTTTTATAGAACATGTCCTGAGCCAAAGTTGTTGTCTGATCAATTAAACAATACCAGTGTTTTGTTGTCTTGACAGGTCTGATAGATGTCCTGTTTCAGCCTACTGGCCGGAGGGGTGGGGGAATGGGAGTTCTTAAATAATAGTCCTAGGAAGGCCCAATTCTCTCTTAAGATATAGGCGTTTCGTACTCATGCTTAAACTCTTTGTTGTTGTTTAACCTTTTTTTAAAAAGTGTAAAGACTTAATTATTTTTTTTTTATTTTAATGGCACCAGGTTATAAAGCAGCTTTATTTAAAACCGTCTTTGTCAAAGTTTTAACACTGGAACAAAGTTAAATGTACCTGAATGAGACTTGAAGCTATTTTTGGTAATAGTACAAATTTTGTCCTATGGGTATTACTATTTTCAAGTTTTCTATATGAAACTGCTGAAAGGAAAATTTAAGTATGTTACAACTCCTAGATTACTTTGTACTTAGCTCATCCTATAAACAAATGTATTAGTAATTAATATATTAAGGCCATCAATCAAGACTTAAAAGTTTTTTAAAATTCACTCTAGTGAGTACTTAAGTTTTATTAAACGGGAAGACTCAATCCAGGTGTTGGAGATGGAAAGTTGAGTGGGACACAGTTCCCGCTCCCCAGGAGTGACCCTGGCCAGTGGGATGGCATTTGTGATGGGTGCTGTGCTGCTGGTGCTGCTGCCCCTGGAGCATAGTGCGAGGGAGAATTGGGCCTGGGGGGTTAGGGAAGAGCATTTTGTTTTTCTCAAATGTTAACCCTGAACAAGTTTGTGTTCCCATGGGGAAGTGGACGGATCAGTGCAGATAGGCTTTAGAAATATGATGTCATTGCAAGTTCTGAATACCTGAATTGTGACCATCATGATCTCTGAAGAATTGTTTTACACGGCTGCCTTTCCTCAACACCTCCCACAAGCCCAGGCTTTGACTCATCAACGCAGATAGTTTAGTGTGTAGGGCAGGGTGGTGATGGAAAGAGAACAGTTACTCCTATAAAATGTCATAGCGCATCTGTGAGCCAGCTCTTCTTTGGGGCAGTGCTATAGACCTACCCTCTTACCTGTAGGTTTGAAGGACTGTGAAAACACAAGAAACTAGGAGATTAAACGATCAGAAACTGTTAGTCCCATGATAGAATTGTTGAAAATGGAGCTAGGTATCCATGTTTGGAAGTTGATGTTCAAATAATAAGCAGCAGGAATAACAATCATATATTCAATAAATACATTTTATATTTGACAGTGTACTTTCAAACACATTATTTCATTTTCATACAAACCCATGAGGTAGGTATTACCATCTCGGTTTTATAGGAGAAAAATTGAAAGGATGGGAAAGGACACCTGATATTTTGAGCTCCCATCGTGTGTCAAGTACCGTTAGGAACTTTCAGTGACTTGCCCAAGATAACATAGTAAGAGGTAGAGAATACATTTAACCCTGGGTTATTTCATGAAGTTGATGTATGTAATGCATATATTGAACGCTAGTTGAATAAATGAAACTTGGACATCTTGAGGATACTTGGTGCCCTAAACTCATCTGAGCATTTTCTTTTTTTTTCTTTTCCAGCATCTACCACGAGCCTAAGTGGGTCTGACAGTGAGACTGAGGGGAAGCAACATAGTTCTGACTCTTTTGACGATGCATTCAAAGCAGACTCCCTTGTGGAGGGAACTTCTTCTCGCTATTCCATGTATAATAGTGTCTCTCAGAAGCTTATGGTATGTCAGTGCTTGGGTTGGGTTTCTACAGCTCCACCAGCAGAGTAAGAGAAGGGAAAATGTATTGGTGTGAAAAGAAGAAAAGCTATGGCATGAGTTTTACCTCTGCTTTCCAGCTACTGAAATTTAGTAGAGTGTGTGGTCCCCTTAATAGAAGTATCTGTCACATCTGAATCATCCATGAGAAGTGGCTGTGCAGGCCTGCTTGTCCTGTCCTGTCCAGAGCTGGGTCACCCTTTGGCCTCCTTAGTAATGAAAGCTTACCATGAGTACATGTGAACGTACCTCCCTACACATGGACATGTGTGGTTGGGTAAAGATGCTTCATGATGTGAGTTTTTGCCCTAGTGAATGATCTCAAGAGAAATGACTAAAATCCTGCTCACTCCTGGGTGCCCAAAATAAATGAGAGTAGTACAGTCTTTTATACGACTTTGAAAAGAAGGTCCAGTTTTCCTTCCCAACTTCTATACCCCATTGATATACCAGAAGGAGGAAAGTGACTAGGAAGACCTGCTCGCTTTCCTGATCAAACTTCAGTGTAAGTGCACAAAGGTTAAGGAAATCCAAGTTTGCTTTCGGGCTAGCTTTAATATTCTAGGTATTTAACGCCTCCATTTTCTTTTGGATTCATTTAAGAATGAGAACTGCCACTTCTGAGGTCAGAGGATTCTAGTTTGGGGGCCATAAATTTTGGGGAAGTGGACAATGGGGAGGTTTGTGACTCAGCCTTTTTTTTTTGTTTTTGTTTTTAAAGATTTATTTATTTATTTGAGAGAGAGAGTGGGAGGGAAGGGGGCAAAGAAAGAGAGGGTACCCCTCAGTCAGCCTTTTTGACCTGGGGAGAGATTTGTGGCTACTATAGGAATTCTGTCCAGCTCTTGAGTTGGTAATGCCCCTTCCAAAGGGAATATAGACCTTCAAGGGGGGATTACATTTTCTTAGGATTGAAGTTATTTTATTAGACAAGGATCCTTGGGGTTTGGGATTTGGGTCTCTGATTTTGGGGGTATATAACTGGGCCCAGTAACTCTAGAGTTTAGTATGAGCTTATGGACAGTTGTGACATTTAAAAAAATGTTCCCAGAGCGCCTGGGTGGCTCAGTCAGTTAAGTGTCTGACTCTTGGTTTCAGCTCAGGTCATGATCTCAGGGTCGTGAGATTGAGCCCCACATTGGGCTCTGTGCTGGGCGTGGAGCCTGCTTGGGATTCTCGCTTTCCCTCTCCCCAACCCCACCTCAAAAAAAAAGAAAAAGTTCCTGTCCAGTATCTTATGGTACTTATGGGTCCATACCTCAATTTTACATGAAGTGAGTTTTCAGTTAATATCTTAAGTGGGCTCCTTCAAGCCCCCATTGTCTTTACCTAATAAGGTTATTTGAATGGCTGAGGATAAGGTAGAGCTGCTGCTTAAAGCGGTTCCATTGTAAATTATGTTCTCTTTATCAACTCAATTCTAGATCTACCTTTCACTTAATCAGACAAATTAACTGGAAGGGTAGTTGTGCAGATGTCCAGTGAGGTTCATTAAGTGCTCTTGGTGCTTTTAATTACAGCTATGAGGTGCCTTCTCATTTGTCCAACTTCTGGTTGCCCTAGACTTTCACCTCCAGAGTAGATAGCCACTGGGCCCACAGTTAAACTGCAGTTACTTATTTATGCTTATTTTCTTCATTAGGCTAGATGGAAAACTTCCGGCCTTACTCCTCTGTTTCTCAGACTTTAGCATAATATCTGACACATGGTAGGGGCTGAGTAAATGTTCATTTATATAAGTGCTCCATTATTATCTGTTTATTTATATAAATGCTCTATTTTGTCTCTTTTTCAGGCCAAGATGGGCTTCAGGGAAGGTGAAGGATTGGGTAAATACAGCCAGGGTCGGAAGGACATCGTTGAGGCCTCTAATCAGAAAGGTCGAAGAGGCTTGGGTCTGACACTGCAAGGCTTTGATCAAGAGCTGAATGTGGACTGGCGAGATGAGCCAGAGGTAACTGGTGAGGGGAGGAGGAGACAGGAAAGCCAACTTGTGTTTTCGTATGCATGGTTTAAGTAGCCATGTTAACAAACTAGAAGTCTCCAGAGGCAGTGGGAATTGGAACTGAGTTTTTACATGGAAGGTACTGCGGATGTCTGGAATGGAAACGGGAGAAAGATACTGGGGGAGATATGCTAGGGTGTGGATTTGTTTTCTATTAAAGACCAGTGGGTAGAAGATGCTGGAAGGCAGAGTTTGGCTCCACAAAGAACTTTAATAAATAGATACACCTTTCCACTAGCAGCTAAGGTACCTCACAAGGTAATGAGTTCCCTCTGCCGAAAGGCTTCAAAGGGGTTGAATGAGGACCCGCTCTCCCATTGGGTGAATGACTGGATTAGGTGCCCTCTAATGTCCTGCACCACTACAGGTTTATGGCACCCCCAACTCTATGTAGGTGTTTGTTTGTACTGTGTAGCTTTCCTGTTGGGTTTAGTCTGCTTATCCGCTTGGATACCAGTTTGTTTTAACCCCAACTACCAAAAGAGACTCCTATCCTTTTTCATGACACAGATGATGTTGAGATTTTATTTTTATTCATTTATGTATCCTATCTTATTTCACAGAGGATTCAAAGTAGGTATAATGAAACAACTAAAAATAATGATGAAATATTGCCGTTATAGAGTTGAAACTAGAGAAAATAGAACACAAATGTCTTGTCTTCTACGTAACTGGTGTAGTTGAGCTTCACATGTGCTGTGAACTCTGGAGAATTGATATTTTATTTGTCTCTCTGATGTTCCAGTTCAGGAAAGAACTCCCGTGAATTGCACACGATAAAAGCCTAATAAGGCTTCAGAGTAAGATGCTGACAAGCCAGGAGCTAATGGCTTCTGGGGGTGGTCCTGCTGTGTTGCCTTGTAGTTGTGGGGAGTCGAGACCAACAGAATAGCAGATGAGACAGTGCAGAATAGGGTAAATATTTGTAATTGGTTTTTACCTCAGAAATTCATGGTGCTTTTCATGTCCTCATTTGTATGAAAACCAATAAAGAGTCCTGATCCTCATAGTGGGGCAGAATTAGAATTAACTTAGCTAAACTCAAAATCTCAAATTCACCCATAAAATCTCTACTTTTAATGGAGACAGGCTATTGAAATCCCTTTTTGAGGCAAGGCTCTCCTAATTATCATTTACCGTGAATCAGTTTTTCACCTACAAAAGATGCCCTATTTCTTGGTTAAGAGTTTGGCTTAACTATTAGTAGGTATCCACTTCAAGGGAGATGAGTCTGGGTTGCCTCAGGTGACTGTCCAGTCCTGGAGTCACTGCAGAGGAAGTGCCTGGTGGCTTCTGCAATGCAGGATTTTAGAGTGCAAGGTTTGACCCTTCAGACAGAGTCCACTTCGCAGTCCATTTTTGCTTTTGATTTTCACGCTTCTATGGGGAGATTGAGTCTGCTTATTCTCTCCAAAGGGACATCCCAAGTGTACATGAGCTTTCTTCCGCATAGAGTTTATAACTTATAACCATTTATAAGTGGTTAAAGGTGATGGATTTGACTGAGGGCGGGGGGTGGGGGGAGCCATGATTCACTGCCAGGTTCATTGACAAAAGGGCTTCTGTAAATTTTTAAACTTTTTCTCTGTTGTTGATGCTTGGCTTGCCCTCAAGACCTTGCATTGTGTTACCATTTTATGCCTTTCAGAGCATGTAATACTACCTTTAATCACATTGCTTCAATTTGAAATGGTGAATCTCTTCTCCACACTTGCTTGGGAGGCAGGGTGTAGAGCTGCCATGTAGGTTAGCCACCTGTTTAGGTTTTATAATCCATGTCTCTAGCTCAGTGAACATAGTCCTGGCTGCACATTAGAATCATCTGGGGTCTTCTAAAAAATGTGATTATACCCAGTTTCTGCCTCAGACCGACAGAGTCATATACTCTGAGGGTGAGGCCTTGTTATCAGTACTTTTTAAAAGAACAGCAGAAGGGTGCTTGGCTAGCTAAGTTGGTGGAGCATACAACTCTTCATCTCAGGGTTGTGAGTTTGAGCTCCATGTTGGGTGTGGAGATTACTTAACAATAAATAAAGTCTTTAAAAAAAAAGAGACTGCAGGTATTTCTAATGTGTAATGTAATTCAAAAATTAAGAGCACCATTGAGATGCCAGTTTCTGCTCTGGGAATGAATAGGCAAGGAATCCTGTTTGTCAGTAACACTTTGAAAGGCATCAGGAGGTGAGACTCATTGCCATTGGGTCTTCTTGGTATAATTACCTTTTCATAGACTTATATCCTGTGTCTACTTCTCTGTGTGCCCAGTGCTCTGATTGTAGGCCCCTGGGTCAAGGACCATGTCTTTTTAACTGCATTCTGAGTACTTAGCCCACAGTACCTATTTATGAAATAATATTGGAACAAATGAAAGAAACTTTGAAGTTTGGGAAGTTGCTGAAGATTCAAACTAGAACTGTATCTGGCCTTCCAAAGTTAACCTTCAGTATCCTGGCTCAGTTCTCATGTCTGATCAGCACATTTGGCCTCAGCTTCCCAGGCCCTTCCATCTGTCTGAGTCCCTTTTGATTGTTTTGGGGAAGCCGTTGCAAGTTGGGGCATAGCCCTGAGGGGCCATCTTCCCTGACTGACTTGCCTCTTTTTTGTTTGTAGCCCAGTGCCTGTGAGCAGGTGTCATGGTTTCCAGAATGTACCACTGAAATTCCGGACACTCAGGAAATGAGCGATTGGATGGTTGTGGGAAAGGTAGGATTTCAGGAAAATGTGCCCTGAATTCTTGGCACTTACCTCCTGACTTTTCTTCTTGAGTCCAGTGTGTGTGTATGTATACTCATAGTTTAAGAAAAATGTGAATCTGACCATTCTGGCAAGAATAAAGTTTTGTCAAGATGGTATGTCAAGGGCTTTACAGATATGCTCCTGGGAGATGTGACAGGGTTTTTTTCTCCTAGTCATTTAACTTGCAAGGCAGCACAAAATGCATAACTTCTGTCTTCCTCATGGATGGTTTTTAGAGTAGCTTATTATACATTTGTGTATATTCTGGTCACTGCTGGGCACTGTTCCAGGTAGATGAAAAGACACTGTCCCTGTCCTCAGAAAATAATGAGGGAGTTGTTACAGAGGGAATTTGTTTAATCTCCTTCTGGAAAACTTAAGAATAAAGTACATAGCTACCAAATCAGTATGGTCTAGAGAGCAGTTCTCAAAGTGTGGAACCCCTAGGGGTCTCCCAAGACCCTTTCGGGGCTCTCCAGGGTCAAAGTTATTTTCATAATGGTACTGGAAAGTTATTTGCTTTTTTTCACTCATTCTGTCACAAGTGTCCAGTGGAGTCTTTCAGAGGCTGTATCACAACCAGTTGAATGCAAATGCAGAGAGGAGATTCTAGCCATCTTATGTTAAGCCAGATAGTAAGAGATTTATAAAAATGAAAAACAGTGCCACTCTTCTCATTAAAAGTTTTTGGGGAAATACAGTTATTTTTCATAAAAATGTTATTTATGTTAACATAATGTGTTCTTTTGCACTGAATAAATAAAAATGGTCTCAGTTTCTAATAATAAATGTTGATGTGTATATATCCCCCACATAAACAAAAGCTCTTTGGGTTCCTCAGTGGTTTTGAAATATGTAAAACTTGAGAACACCCAAGTTTGAACATCATTTGTTTAGAGATAGCCTCACTCAGCCATGAGGTTGGATTTGACACCCCTGTGAGGGTCTCTTGAGCCCTTGTTATCTCTGATGCTACCAGGTCAGTGCCTGGTGTCCTACAGTTGTAGCCCTCACCGATCAAGAGGCTTCCTGGTTGAAGGACAGGTTTCTGTCATTTAGGGCAGTCTCCATCCTTCTGCCTCCATGCTCTGGGGGCAGACAGCTTGAATGTTTCCTTCTTGTTTGCTTTTCTCAGCCTCAGCATTCATGAGTCTTGTATCCATATGGTGCTCTAGTCAGAGCACCCAGGGGGCTGCTTCATCTCACAGCCATCTGGAGTATAGCCAGAGGGATTTAGGATTTTCTCTTTCCCGCCCCTCAGGGATTGATGTTCTTGGCAGAGACTCAAGCCCCTTCTTGCTCTACTCACTTAGAACCCTCGTTTCTCCCTTCATTCCCCCAACTGCAATCATACGTGGTCATTATCGATTATTTTCTTCTTTCTGTAGAGAAAGATGGTTATTGAAGACGAGACAGAGTTTTGTGGGGAAGAGCTGCTTCACAGTGTGTTGCAGTGTAAGGTAAGGCCTGTGGCTAGAGCTGGGCTGGAAAACCTTGTGTGAGGGCATGTGCCAGGCTCTTCTAGTTCTTTTGAATTGGTTGGGGGTTAGGGGGGCTGAAGTTTAGCTAAGATTTTTCTCGGAAATGTGAGATGTGTGGCTTGCTGCATTTCTCCAATGTGTCCTTTTTCCTGGGGCCTTGTAGTGTTGTGCTGTCCCTGTGGTCAGTAGCCAGGAAAGGCTCCACTTAACCTCAGTAGGTCGGTTCATCACGATCCTGAGGGGGCCTGGCGTAGTGAAAAGTTTGGAATCATTCATTAGTGTCAGATAGACCTGAAGTCACATCCTCGTTTTGTAACTTTCTTGCTGGGTGACCTTGGGCCAGTTGCTTTAGCTGCTCTGAATTTGAGTTCCTCATCTGTAAAATGGGGAGAAAATACTTCCTGGGATTGTTGTGAGAATTAAATGGGATAGTGTGAAGCTCCTAACACACTGGGCAAATGTTAGTCTCTCCTTGATAGCTTTTGGCGTGAGTTTGTGTCAGGAAGTACATTGCCCAGGGCGGGATGAGCCAGGGAAACTCTGAGGAAGAAATGGGTTGGAGAAGAAGCCTCAGTCCAGCCTCACCAAATTAATTTTTTTTGCAGGCAGAGGGTTGGGAATATCCTTAAGGTGACTGGAACTCAGGTGAAGTGAGGCTTTTTTTTCTCAGGGAGAAAATTGGAGAAGGGAAAAGGGATCCCTACTGTGTGGGTAGGTGCCATCACAAAACACTGGTCTTGGTTTGCTTTGCCCTCTTTCTGAGTGAGCCTTAATGTCAGTACTCTGGTCCCTTGGAAAGTTGCTGCTGGAGTGGAGAAACAGATTTGCTCTGAGGATTTGTGATGCCAACAGGTGGCTCTGTGCCTACCCACAGGTACCATTTATTAACCACTTTGCAGGGATGTGCTTACATTTTATTTATTTATTTTTTACCACTTCACAGGTGAGGTAGTTGAGGGTCAGAGAGATTGAGCAATTTGTCTAGGGTCACCCAACTGGTCCCTTCAGAGCTGGGATGCAGCAGTATTGTAGCTCTCCCAGGGCTGAGTTGGGCTCCTCAAGCTCTTAAGTCCCCTGTCCCATCCTGGAGGGTGATGCTCACCTCGAGGTTCTGATTCTCTGTGGGCAGAGTGTGTTCGATGTCCTGGATGGGGAGGAGATGCGGCGAGCTCGTACCCGGGCCAATCCCTACGAGATGATCCGAGGGGTCTTCTTCCTAAACAGGTTTGCTGACATTCCCCACATCTCCCCTCCCCTGACATGCACTGTTCTACCTTTTTGTCTGAGCCTCAGCTTTCCATACATCTGGTGTATTGAATTGTGTTTTTCCATCTTTATTTCAGGGCGGCAATGAAGATGGCTAACATGGATTTTGTGTTTGATCGCATGTTTACAAATCCACGGGACTCTTGTGGGGTGAGAATAAGATTCTTTGTCTGAATTCATAGTGCTAAATGGGCTTACGCTTCAGTGGCCCAGAAATTGCCATTTGTGCAATGCTAGGAGAATATTCCTGCTGTATGAGAGAGACTTTGCTTTGAGCTTCTCAAATTAGGTCCCATGGTGCTTCCTATGGTCCCAGGGATGCTCCAGTAAGCAGTTGTCTCTAGGGCTTCAGGCCCAGAATTGTAGCCCCCAACTCTGCAGATCCTGACGCTCACCCCAGGTGGAGGAGGGTAGGGCTTGCAGCAGTGGAAAGGGACATTTCTGGGCAAAATCAGCAGTTGTGACATCTGTAGGCCTAGGGAGCAGGGAGGGGGAAGGGTATGAGATAGAGCATGGGCCCTTCTCCTGCATCCATTAAACTTGTATTTATCCAGCTCCTACCATGTGCCAGGCACCAGGAATATAATTTTGAATGAGATAGATGTGATCCCTTCCCCTGTGGCACTTAGGTTCTGGACGTTCTGGTGGATTCGAGAACTGGCGAGGGTGCAGGGTGGGGATGTTTGTAAAGCCTTTCTGTGGAGGCCAGTTGCTGCCAGGGTGAGTATGTGGTTATTACAGTGAACCTGTTTTCCAAATTCAAACTTGTGACATCATCTGATTTGGGTGCTGTGGCTGGTATGAGAAGGGAGTGCTTGGGGAAATGTGATATGAGTATTGAATGAAATGTGGGCACCTGGGTCCTTCGCTGGTCTATTTAAAATCAGTATCCTGTCTGAAAATCTAGGCTGTGTTGTTCAGTGAGGGGTTGTGGGGCAGGAAGTACAGCACTTAACATCTTAAGTTCATCCCTTCTTTGGGCCTCAGCTGCCTCATCCCTGAAATTAGCCCTACTAACGTGTCAGAGGGTTGGGGGAGGACCAGAGGCCCTTAAGATCTGTTCCAGTTCTAAGATCTGTGATTTCAGATGTGGCCACTTCCCTTTCTGCCTTTCTGAACCAGCTTTCTGTGGGATGATAATTATTAGATTTTGGTCCTTCTCAAGAAGTGGTAGAGCAAAATGATTTTCTACTCTGCTACATCTCATTCCTCTGAACACAGACACACCATAATGATAGAGAAAGAAAAAAGGACGTTTCATTCTAGCATTCCCTTCAAGGTTTCAAAGCACTTTTACTCAGTCCCAGAAAGTTAGTTCTCTTTGACAGTGAAGGGTCAGGAGCCAGCTGTACCCAAACCTGTTTCTGCTTCACTCACTCTCCTTCCACTAGGCCCCCTGATTATCCACCTGCTAGAGGAACTTATTTTCCAAGTTCTGTAATGTTTCAGTTCCACCTCCCTAACTGCTCCCCTCCATGCTGGCAAAACTGGCATTGGACCCCTCCAGCCTATACTCATTTCTCTCCCCCGGGTCTCCCTCCCTGTTTTCCAGGACCAGCAGGCAGCACAAAAGGGCTCTTGGAATTAGCATCTTGAGAAAATTAGGTTGATATAATGTTGGTTTAATTTTCTGAGCTCCAAATGATTTCCTTTAAACCCCTGCCTGGCAGAGGAGCTCTGTCAAGCTGCTAGGAAGTCACAGCATCATTTTGGGCTCTTGAATGTAAACGCCTCCAGCAGCTGGGATCTGGTTATTGTCTTTTGCTGTCAGGAAAGTGAAGGAGGCACCAGGTTGTACCATTCAGGTCAAGGGTGGAGATGTTAGTTACATAGGAAAAGGTAGCTGTGTTTGTAACACTTCAGGCACCTTCTTGACCTGAACTGATTGTTAGTGGCCATGGAGAATTGCCCTTTCAGAGATATTTCTCTGCACTCCACTATAAAAAGTGATTTCTCTCCATCCCTAGTGTTTTCTTCTCTCTTTTCCCCTGAGGACCAGAGTGACAGCCAAGCCCAGCAGGCTTGGTGTGTTTTTTAGGTGAGCAGAGGTGGGAGTGGCTGAAGGCCCAGACATACACCCGAGTTTGCTAGGGTCTCAGTGGTTCTTGGATCAGGCAAATTTTAGAATAAGAGCATGGAGAACTTGAAGCTTGGGCAGGTGTGGGGAGATTGGAGGTGGATGGCAGAGGGGATTATGAGGTTTTTCACTGGCATTCTGGTTCTGTGGGTTGTGGTAAAAGGAGAAAAGAGACTAGGTGGTGAAACAAATTGTAAACAAGAATTGGAAGAGACAAGGGAAAGAAGGGAGTTTAGATTCTTTGGGTATATGCTAGCATATAATAAACCGTAACATTATGTGCGGGCTTTGTGTGCCTGGGGATATTGCTGAGGTAAGTAAAAGTTGTCTGTGAAGCCTTATAGGAGACAAAAACTGAATGTGGATCTTTGAGTTGCGGTGGTATCTTAGAGGAAATTAGCACTTAAAAAGTGCCCACTGAGCTTGGAGTACTGCATGAGGTGATGGAAAAGGACAAGAGTTTTGACTCCAAGGAAGTTGAGCCGGTTGGATGTTGTATCATCTTATGTTTGTTTAGTATTTATAGTTTTTAAGCGTCTTTGACATATGATACTTCAATCCCACAATAGTCTTGAGAACCTACATTAGTCCCAGTTTACAGTTGAGGGAGCTCAAGGTTAAAGGCGTAAATTGTATGCTGCCCTTCACTGCACAGCCAGTAAGTGGCAGAGGTGAGAACTCCGCCAGCTGTCCTTTCTATGAAAAGACCTTGTGGCCGTGACCTGTGAGGGCCACGTGTCTTGAAATCAAAGAATGAGATCATACTTATGCCCTCTTTTTGGAGGTGAGATTCTTTCATTGATTCATTTTTCTTCCTTTGCCCAGTTTTCTTCTGGGCCAGCATCTCGCTGGGAAAGCCTGGGGCTAGGCATGGCCAGTGGTAAGGAACATTATTTTTCCTCTTTTCCAGTGTGTGCAGGCCTTAAACTTGTGACCCTTGCCTCATTACCACTGTGCTGCCTAGAAAATGCTACATAATGTTCTCAGCAAATGCCATTAGGTCTTTTTTTGTGTGCAAATGAATATAATCCAAAAATATGAATAATTGATGGCTCAGGAACAAAGAATACTGGGCTAGATTGGTGGAGAAGAAGAGAAAGAACTGATATATCTCAGCATGCCTGGGTGGGCTTGTCATAGGATGATGGAAGTTTATTTTTAGCTAAAGTCAGTTTCTCCAGGGAGTTCTTCACTGTTTTGATAAAGCTGGATAGCTATCATCAGAGGCAGGGCCCTTTTCACCCAGGAAGTGATTAGATTGTGAACATTAGTATTTTCCATTTCTTTCTTAAAACTATTTCCCCTAAAGCTTTCTGATCTTTATCTAGCAGTTACAGAACTCTGGACAAGTACTCAGCCATGACAAACCTATGGAGAGGGAAGGCCGAGCTGCCTAAGCTCCTTCTTGCTGGATGTTCCTCAGGGTCCTCTGTAGTCACCTGTTCTAGAGCTCAGCCTCTTGTCACCAGTCCAGACGGTATATCCCCTCTGCCTTGGAGCCAGGTCGGGACAAGTAGAAGTCACCCTTTATGACCAGGTGTATAAAAGAGAAACACAGTATGGGCCAGTGCTGGGTTCAGCGTAAATTTCAGATTAAGAGTTAAAAGGTACCGGAGTGACCAAATTTATAATCCAGTAAAAATTCAATGATTATTGTAATTTAGTTATTTCTGAGGTGGGCGGGTACTCTGGGGTTGCCTGGAGGCTGCACACCAGGGTCTCCTTCGCCCTCTCCTTGTCAGCCTCTAGCTCTACACTGCTGCCCCATGTACCTGGCTAAGAGAGGGGCAGAGGCAGGGGAAAGGGAGTGCAAAAGAGGAGGAGACTCAGTACACTGTGGTAGCTTGGATTGGATTCTAGAACAGAACAAAAACTAACGAAACCTGAATCAAGTCTAATTTAGTTAATAGCAGTGTATCAATGTTCGTTTCTTAGTTTTGACAAATGGCCATGTAAGATGTTAACAAAATTGGAATCTGGTTGAAGAACATATGAGAACTCTGTCTTTGCAGGTTTTCTGTAAATCTAAAATTATTCCAAAATAAAAAGTTAATTGGAAAAAAAATAGGGAGAGCCAAGAAGGAAGGGGAGAAGGGGAGCAAGGGGCTGCGGTTTGGAAAGGTAGGCCCTGTGCCTGGGAGGGAGGTGGTAGAGCCCCTCAGGCTTCGGGCAGGAAGACCTGAGTCTGGCAGTCGGGCTGAGTGGATTCCGATTTAGCTTTGTTGCACACAGGCTGTGAACAGGTTGCTTTGTGTCTTGGTGTCTTTTTGTCCCTGTCTGTAAGTGGGGAATACAGCATCTATCCTCAGTGGGACTCTTGTAAGGCAGGATATGGTAAGGAAAAGACTCTGAGAAATAAAAATGCATACTCAGATTCCTAGTAAGATGCTTTTATTAGGAGTCTGAGCCAGGCCCTATGGTTGAAGGCAGCAGGGGTGTTTTGAGGTGGGGATGGGCAACTCCAGAAGGCGGGGACCACAGAGGATACCTATCCTGGGTGTTGTGGCCCCGGCAGGAGCTCTGCACTGTGCTTGCTGAAAGGCTCATTTTACTCCCCCTGCATTCTCCTTCCTGTTCCCCATTGAGCCAGACTTTTTCCCTTCCTCCCTTGTCCTCCACTTGCCTTTACAGAAACCACTGGTAAAGGACCGGGAAGCTGAGCTTCTGTACTTCGCTGACGTCTGCGCAGGCCCAGGTGGTTTCTCAGAGTACGTGCTGTGGAGGAAGAAGTGGCACGCGAAGGGCTTCGGAATGACTCTGAAGGGCCCTAATGACTTCAAACTGGAAGACTTCTACTCGGCCTCCAGTGAGCTCTTCGAACCCTACTATGGTAGGGACATAGAGGAGGAGGGTACTGGGGGCGATGGGAGACCATCCTCTGTGGGGACTCTAGGTCAGAGGCAGTTATCCACTGGGCATGTTTTCTTTACTGGGTCTCTCAGCCTGGGGTTTCCAGTCCATGTCGTGAAGGTCTTGGTTCCCTCTAGACTGTCCTTTTTTACCCCACGCTTGTAAGATGCAGTTTAAACACTGCACTAGACAAAACTCTCATCAAAACCATATTAAATCCTCTTTTCTTCTCTTGTGGTGACAGGAGATAATGAAACTGCCTGGTCTCCGGCTGAGAATTGGTAGAGTTATTAACAAATACAAACCCCATGCCCATCTCCGGCACCATGTACCGGGTGTGGGATGCACTGGGTAACAGACAGCTCAGCAGCCCCGCAACAGTCCCCTCCACTCTTTCTTGATTGCTGTGATTTGGCAGCAAATCCCAAGTTCTTTCATAACAGTTCTTATTTAAAAATTGATATTGGTTTCTAAATGTAGGTGCTTTAAACATAACTTCAGTCTTGAAGAGGAAGGCCCTCTGTTTCATTTGATGACTCTTAGCTGGACAACTCATTTTGAATTCTGCTTTATTACAGCAGGGCCCTGTTTTTGCCTCTTGGTCCATCACTGCAAGGCAGCTTTGCAGGATAGATCCTGCAGTGAATTGCTCCTTACAGGGCCTTTTCTCCTGGTCCTCGAGGAAAACCTGTGTTCACAGCCCCAGAGAGCTTGTGTCCCAGCTCCTGGGACGCACAGGGCGGATGAGCTAAATGTGACTCATGTCCTGCCAGGTGAGGGTGGGATCGATGGAGATGGAGATATTACCCGCCCGGAGAACATCACTGCTTTTCGGAATTTCGTCCTGGATAACACAGATCGCAAGGGTGTCCACTTTCTGATGGCCGATGGGGTAGGTGATATTCTCTCCATAGGGTGATGCTTTAGGGATTTATCACGTTAAAGGCTTGTTTTGTTTTATTTGGTCTTTTGCTGCCCCAGACTGTGGTGGTTCACTATTCAGATAGTAGGGATGTATGATGTATGTTTTTATTCTTTTTGCATGTATTTTCAATGATTCCTTTGTCAATGTTCTAATGTTGTGGACATCTTTGCTTGGAGCAAGTGGATTCTTGGCTCACTTCCTCAGAGGCCTTGGTTGGCTGTGAGAGATGGTAGGGGAGAACCATGACCAAGATGGACCAGGCAAAACTGATTGGGAAGAACATTTCCATCATTTGTCACCTGGGTGCAGCTCCTGGTAGAGGCTGTCCTTACACCCCTAAGCCTCTGGATGGCTGACAGATGACTACATAACCAAAGGCAGCAGCTCGGGGGAACCCATGGGAGGCTCTGTCAGTGGTTGGGCTGAAGTGAATATTCAGGGAGCCTTGTTTTTTTGGGCAGCTGTTTGAGGTACAGAGGGCATTCCGCTGTAGCTTCTTCACCTAGAAATCTGATGCTGCAGGTACTTTTCTGCAGTGAGCCACCACTTACTCTAAGAGGAAGGACAGAGAATGTGGCAATTGCTCCAGGGTCACATGGCTAGAATTGAGAAGAGCCTCAGAGCTGCTTGGGTGGCTTCTCAAGCAGTAACCACATGGGAAGGTGAAGGAACGGGCAGGATGCCAGCGTAGGATCTGAAGATGCCCTGGCTCACCAAAGCATTGTACACGGCAGGGAATAACAGAGACACAGGCTTGGGGGATAAAGAGGGAGGGGCTGCTCCCGCTGAGCAGATGTGGGGGCCTGATAGTGCTTGGGAGGCAGTTGGTGCCATGTGGCAGCCAGAGTGCAAACTCGAGGGTTGTCTCTCTGCTTAGGCAATGTAGACTGGTGACTTGGGCTTTTTTTTTTTTTTTTGATTGACTCTACAAATAGACATGCATTTTGAGAAACATTATAAATCTGGAGGACATTGCTAAATAATTTTGGATTCTGAGTCGTTTAGCTATTACCTTTGTAGGACTGAGTGAGGGAGACCTGGTCTGGCTTGAGCCAGCTGAACAGAGGTCAGCCTCCTTTACTTTTTAAAAAAATTACTGTGATAAAAAACACAGTGTACCATCTCAGCCATTTTTAAGTGTACAGTTCAGTAGTGCTAAGTATGTTCACATTTTTGTGAAACAGATTTCCCTCCTTTTTTCCTTTTTGTGAAATTGGAACTCTGTAGCCGGTAAACAACAACTCTCCTCTCCTCCTTCCTCCAGCCGCTGGCCTCCGGTACTTCTGTGTGAGCTTGGCTCTCTGCTCCCTGCCAGCATCTCACAGGGAGGGAGACCACTCCAGGAATAGCAAGGCACATTCTTTGAACAAACACCCTGGCCAGAGACCCTGACAGCTGGAGGGAGAGGCTCCGTGGTCTTGAGACAGGAAGGGGGTTTTGGTCAGCAGAAAAAGAAAGATTACTGTGAGTGTCAGAGTAGTGCTAAGTTTTCTCCTGTCACCATACTAGGGCCTGTTCAGTGGTCAGCACAGTGGCTGAGTAAGCCCAAGCAGAGTAGTCGCACCACTCCCTGGCTCCTGGACTGACCAGGGCATTCTGTTTCCTATCTGGTAGTTGGCCTGTGACCAGCCAGTATTTTGCCTCTGTCCTCCCTTACTCTTCCCCTGGATTGCCGCACGGGTTTTGCAAGTTTTTGGACCATCTCCTTGGAAAAACAGACTTGGTTCTATCCCCTGGGAGCGATGAAGCAGAAGAAAGGCACTGTTCTACTTGCCACGCCTGGGTCCTAGTGCTAGCTTCACCCAGGAGGCGCCTTGTGACCATGCCAAAGTAATTGAAACGCTGAGCTCTGTGTTTATCAGTCAGATGGTGGAAGTCAATGAAAACACTTGAAGACGTCTCAGTGAAGATGGGGTAGGGAAGAATGAAGTCCTCATCATGTCTCTTTCCCGCTCCGAGTCTTATCCTCTCCTTTCAGGGTTTCTCAGTGGAGGGGCAGGAGAACCTGCAGGAGATCCTCAGCAAGCAGCTGTTGCTCTGTCAGTTCCTCATGGCGCTGTCTGTTGTCCGAACAGGTGACACTTCCTCAGCTGTCTGCACAGCCTAGGACTCATTAGAGGCCCTGTTGGGCAAGAGCATGTACAGGGCTTGGGAGTAAAACAAAAAAACTGCTTATATCAGGTGACTCAATGAGGCTAAATGAGGAATTGAGGGAAGTAAGTGCTGTAAAATCCCCAAAGTCCCCTCTAAAGCTGAGTCTTCCCCTTAAATTGCCTCTTTTAATGGGCCCAGGTGGTGGGTTCTTGGCTTTGTCACACTTACTCCCTGAGATTACCTTACTGCCTCCTGGGATAGAACCCACTGACTGCTGTTGGTGTTTTTGCTCTAATCTAGGGGGTCACTTCATCTGTAAAACCTTTGACCTATTCACCCCATTTAGTGTGGGGCTCATCTACCTGCTCTACTGCTGCTTCGAACGAGTGTGTCTCTTTAAGCCGATCACCAGCCGTCCTGCCAACTCAGAGAGGTGAGGCCTTCCTCTCCGGTTTAATCAGACTAGTTGACTGCATGTTAGAACAGCACATGCTGATGCACCTCTCTGGCATAACTACTCAAGCTACATTAAAACCCTGATTTTAAGGATATAGTTAGAGCCAGTAGGAGTCAGGATTCGGATCCTAATGGTTCTGTGGTATGCCACTTCAGCCTCTGCCTCCTTCTCCACAAGCCTTATTCTTCACACTTCGGTGGGGGATCCTTGGCTTGGTCCAGGAAGGAGAAGATGACCAGAAGAAGGGGCACCTTGAGGGACATGGGCTGGGCAAGGGCGAGGGGGCCGCCACCCAGAGGGCACTGTTGGCATCCCATTTGAGACACAGTATGCAGTGCTCCTGCATGATGTGAGAGAAGATGTGGCCAGTCTGAATTGCTAGGTGGCTTGTTAAAAACACAGGTTTCTGGGCCCCATTCCTGGAGAGTCTATTAATTAAGTCTGTAATTGAACAGACTCCCTAGTGATGGTGATGCAGCCAGCCTGGCACAGGGCAGTTGGGAACCACTGCTACAGAGGGTAGAAATACAGCCCAACATAAAAGGAAAGAATTGAACTGAACTTTTGCAGCAGAGTCTGTGTGTGCTGTTCTTTGTGCATGGACTTAAGACTGTTTAGCTTTATGACTCAGCAAAGAATTGGGGAGGAGGAATGTGGGGGAGAAGCCCTTGCACAGTGGACTGACAGGGTGTCTTCTGCCAGGTATGTGGTATGCAAGGGCCTGAAGGTGGGCATAGATGACGTGCGGGATTACCTCTTCTCAGTTAATATTAAACTCAACCAGCTGCAGAACACTGATTCTGACGTCAACCTTGTGGTCCCCTTGGAGGTGATCAAGGGAGACCATGAATTTACTGACTACATGATACGATCCAACGAGAGGTAAGCAAACTGGGTGTTTTTTGCTGATGCCACTGGGGTATCAAGGAAGACCAGAGAATGAAGGACTGAATGACTAGCTCTTAGTATCACTTTGTCAATCCTAAAAAATTGGTAACTAGGATTGGTCTTGTTCCAGGGCTCCTTGGACTTTGGGGACTCTTTGTCCTACCCCCATGCCCTTCCCAAGGGTGGCCAGTGGGAACCTGGTTGGTACAGCCCTGCCCATGGGAGCCTGAGGATGATAGTGAAACCTGATAGATAGCAGCCTTGTTTTGTGTCCCTGGAGGCAGGAGTAACTGCTCTTTAATTGCTTCTGTGAAAGGCTGTCATGGTTGTTGCCTTGTGAAGCTCCCTGTTGGAGATAGGAGATGGCTAGGAAGCAAGGATGCAGCATGCTTTGGAAGTTTCTGGTATTAAAGCTTTTTTGCCAGTTCATGAATTCCCCAGACAGGTGATCTGAATGCTGTTTTGTTTTAAACCTTCTTTGATCCCCTCCTTCCCCCTTCTTGTTAGTGGTAATAATTTAAAGTAGTGACAGTGGTTCCGTTTTCTAAGTGGGCAAGCCTGAGAGAAAAGTTTTCTGAGGTACGTTGGAGAGTTGTATAGTAGTGAGTCAGTAGAAGTGCTTTCTCACAGGGCAAAACAGGTGTTGGAAAGGTCATTTCTAAGTCACAGTCCCGACTCCCAGAGAAGTTTGAAGGTATAGGCCCTGGAGAATCACAGAAGAGGAAGTCTTTACCCATTTATCCATCATCCTACAGTATTTTAACTTTCCACAGTACTGCCACATAAGCGCTCTCATCTTGATGGGAGGTACCAAGGTGGAGCAGATACTGAGCTTCAGCATGCTGTCCTGAACCGGTCTAGAGTCAGCAAAACCAGGGCTTTGTAACGTTTCCATTGTATGGACTTCTTTTGCTGAACTGTGTTGCCATCTGCTATGAGCGTGTGTGGATGCCTGGCAGAGCTGGACTTCTCAGGGAAGCCTGGGTGGCTCAGTCAGTTAAGTGTCTGCCTTCAGCTCAGGTCCTGGGATCAGGCCCTACGTCGGGCTCCCTGCTCAGTGGGGAGTCTGCTTCTCTCTCTCCCCCTGCCCCTCCACCCCGCTCATGTTCTCTCTCTCGCTCACTCTCAAATAAATAAATAATCTTAAAAAAAAAAAAAAAAAAAAGAACTGGACTTCTCAGTGTTTCCAGTAGTGCAGTGTTTAAGCAATCCTATATCAAATCCATTTTCTTTCTTTGCTTAAAAAGATTGATGTATAATTCCATAACTGAAATGCAGATCTTATGTGTCACTTCAATCATTTTTGACAAATGCATATATCCACGTAACCTATGTTTCTGTTAAGATTAAAAAAAAAATTACTGTAACCTCAGAAAATTTCTTTGTGTCCATCCAGTCAATCCTAAAGTAACCACTCTTACTTTTATCATCCTGGATTAGTTTTACTTGTTCTAGAACTTTGTATAAGTGGAATCATACATAGACACTTTTGTGTCAGTTTTTTTTCTCCTTACCATAGTGTTTTTGAAATTCTTTCATGTGGTGTTTCTTCCTTTTTATTGCTGAGTAGTATTCCATTGTATGGACATACCAAATTTATTCTTCTGTTGATGGACACTTAATGATATTTCTGGTTTAGGGCTGTTATGAGTAAAGCTGCTGAAACATTTTGTGCAGGGCTTTGGATGGACAAATGTTTTCATTTCTCTTAGATGAATAGCCAAGAACAGAAATTCTAGGTCATAAGTTAGATGTGTTATTTAACTTTTTAATAATGCCATACCGTTTTCTAAAGTGCTTGTACCAGTTTATACACCCTCCAGTAGAGTGTAAGAATTCTGATTGTTGTACATCTTTGCCAGCATTTGGTATTGTTAGTTTTTTTCATTTTAGCCATTCTGGTGGGGGTGTAGTGTTCTACCACTGTGATTTTATTTTTTTATATATATATTTTTAAATTGAATATTGTATTAGTTTCATGTGTATAACATAGTGATTCAGTATTTATATACATATATGAAATGGTCACTACAATAAGTCTAGTTACCATTTGTCACCATCCAAAGTTGTTACAGTATTATTAACTATATTCCTTATGCTGTACATTATATTCCCGTGTCTTATTTATTTAACTGGAAGATTATACCTCTTAATTCCCTTCACCTATTTTGTCCATCCCCCAACTCCTTCCCTTCTGGCAACCATCAGTTTGTTCTCTATATCTGTAAGTCTTTTTCTGTTTTGTTTTTATTTGTTCATTTGTTTTTTCGATTCCACATATAAGTGAAGTCACATGGTTTTTGTCTTTCTGTGTCTGATTTATTTCGCATAGCATAATAGCCTCTAAGTCCATCCATATTGTTACAGATGGTAAGATTTCATTCTTTTTTCATGGTCAAGTATATTCCATCATATATATTCATCTCTATCCATTCATCTGTTGATGGACATTTAGCTTGCTTCCATATTTTGGCTATTATAAATAATAGCGTGGTGAACCTAGGGGGCACATAGGTCTTTTCAAATTAGTGTTTTGTTTTCTTTGAATAAATACCTAGAAGTAGAATTGCTGGACTGTGGTAGTAGTTCTATATTTTTAATTTTTTGAGAAAACTCTATACTGTTTTCCATAGTAGTATTAAATTGGGTGCACCAATTTATATTCCTACCAACACTGCACAAGTATTCCCTTTTCTTCACATCCTCACTAGCACGTGTTACTACTTTTCTTTTTGTTAATAGTCCTTCTGTGAGGTGGTATCATTTGTGGTTTTGATTTGCATTTCTGTGATAACTAATGATGTTGAACCTCTTTTCATGTGTTTATTGGCAGTTTGTATATTTCTTTTATGATGTGTCTCTTCAAGTCTTTAGATCATTTAAAAATTGATTTGTCTTTTTATTAAATTGTAGGAACTCTTTCTATATGTTGAATACAATTCTGGTTTCAAATATGTGTGTTGTGAATATTTTGTCCTAATGTGTGACATACCTACTCATTTTCTTAATGGTATCTTTTGATAAGCAGAAGTTTAAAAATTTTTTAATCATTTTTTATTGTGGTTAAATATACATAAAATAAAGTTTACCATTTTGACCCTTTTTAAAATGTATAATTCAGTGGCATTAAATATAGTCATTCACATTGTTGTAGAATCATCATCACTGTATATTTCCAGAATGTTTTAATCATCCAAAACAGAAACTCTGTAGCTATTAAACAATAACTCATTTCCCCCACCCCAAGCCCCTGGTAATCTCTATTATACTTTCTAGTTCTATGAATTTGCCTATTCTAGGTACCTCGTGTAAGTGGAATCATACAATATTTCTTTTTTGTCTGGCTTATTTCACTTAGCATGTTTTCAGGATTCATCATGTTGTAGCATGTGTCAGAATTTCAGTCCTTTCAGGGCCAAATAATATATTCCATCTGTATATACCACATTTTGTTTATCCATTCATCTGTTTTTGGACATTTTTTTTTTTTTAAAGATTTTATTTATTTATTTGAGAGAGAGAGAATGCGAGATAGAGAGCACGAGAGGGAAGAGGGTCAGAGGGAGAAGCAGACTCCCTGCCGAGCAGGGAGCCCGATGCGGGACTCGATCCCGGGACTCCAGGATCATGACCTGAGCCGAAGGCAGTCGCTTAACCAACTGAGCCACCCAGGCGCCCTGTTTTTGGACATTTGGATTGTCCCCACACTTTAGCTATTGTGAATGATACTTCTTTGAATATTGGTGTGCAGGTAATTGAGCCCCTGCTTTCAGTTCTTTTCTGTATATACCAAAAAGTCGAATTGTTGGATCATGTAATAATTCTGCTTAAATGGTGTCACTGCTGAAGAACTGCCATACTATTTTTTATAGCACCAGCCCCATTTCATATTCCCACCAGTAATGCTCCAGGGTTCCAATTTCTCCACATCCTCGTCAGCACCTGTTATTGTCTCTCTTTTTTTTTTGTTTTTTGGATAATAGCCATCCTAATGGGTGTGAAATGGTATCTCACTATAGTTTTGAATTGCATTTCCCGAATGATGAATGATATTGTACATATATTTTTTTAAAGATTTTATTTATTTATTTGATAAGAGAGAGAGCACAAGTAGGCAGAGCTGGCAGGCAGAGGGAGAGGAGAAGCAGGCTCCCCGCTGAGCAGGGAGCCCGATGCGGGACTCAATCACAGGACCCTGGGATCATGACCTGAGCCGAAGGCAGATGCTTAACCAACTGAGCCACCAGGTGCCCCGTACATATTTTTATATGGGCCTGTTTGTGTATCTTCTTTGGAGGAATGTCTATTCTAGTCCTTTGCCTATTTTTAAATTGGTTTGTTTTTCATTGTTGAATTGTATTTATATATTCTGGATATTAATCCCTCATCAGATACATGATTTGAAAATATTTTTTCTCATTCTTTGCTCTTTTTCCCCTATATTGATTATGTCCTTCAGTATACAGTTTTTAATTTGATTAATTCAATTTATTTTTTCTTTTATTGCTTATGCTTTTGATGTAATATTTAGTAAATCATTATTGAATCCAATATCATGAAGCTTTTTGCTATGTTTTCTTCTAAGAGTTTTATAGTTTTAGCTTTTATATTTAGGTCTTTGATCCATTTTGAGTTAATTTTTGTAGATGTAAGGTAAGGGTCCCACTTCATTCTTTTGCATGTAGATATCCAGTTCCCCAACCCACTTGTTGAAATGACTGTTCTTTCCTCTTGGAATGGTCCTGGTACCCCTGTTGAAAATCATTTGATCATATATTTCTGGCTCTTTATTCTGTTCCATTGGTCTATATGTCTGTCTTTATGCCAGTACCACAGTTTTGATTACTCTAGCTTTGCAGCAAGTTTTGAAATGAGGAGGTGTGAGACCTTCAGTTTGTTTTTCTTTTTCAAGATTGTTTTGGCTGTGGGGTCCCTTGAAATTGCATAAGAATTTTAGGATGGGTTTTTCTGTTTTTGCAAAAATTGCCATTGGG